AAGAAAGACAAGTCTAAATCTTGTTTTTCGAGTCCTTTTGGATGATTCGGGTCAGAAGGAGACAGCAACTTGGCACAGTGGCCGATTCGCAGGTCTCGGCGCCCTTTGAGACGGTGATCCAAGAGGCGTCTAAAGCGGAGCGTGCATATGATCTTCCAAGGTATGTGTCGAAGGGGACCCCCAAAAGCTGTACATCATCATATGTATATATATATATATATCATAATATATATATATATATATCATAATGTATAATATATATCTCTATATATATATATACATATATACACATGTAGACATGTGTGTGTATTTCTGTTTGATTCACCTTAAACAGGGTGACCCCCAAACGTATGTTTTGGGGTTTCTCGGTGAATCAAAATAGAACTAGGTTTCTGCCATGCAGTTCTGCACCATTGTCGGCAAGCTCACCTCGGGGTATGAGCGATTTGGCCCCATGAGGGTATGAAGGTCCAGTTCGGGGATTCCTTTACTGGTCGTACCTAGTGCATATGTTCCTGAGGAGTGTTTCTTTAGCATCACCTCTGCATCGTGCCTGGTTTTTGTCTGAGCGGTACTGTCTGGGGGAATAAGGGGAACCCTGTTTCAACATGTGTGGGAATACCACTCGTAGCTAAGACGCCGTGTGGCGAAGTTGAACTTGGCTGGTTTCTTTGCACCATGGGCTTAAACCACGGCGAACACTTTCAGGTGTCTCCAATCCCTGCCACCCATCCCCCCCCCCGGTTGTGGAGTGGTTTGGGTGAAGGATTGATCAAGGAGTGGGATAGGGTTGGTGGTTGGTTGAGGGTTGGTTAGTTTGGGTTTTGAGTTGGCTGAAGCATACATGGCCAACTTCTATGGGGAGTCCCCTCAAAACTGGTTGGCTGACTTACCTCTAACATGCAAGCAGTCGGAAGGTCTCGTCAATAGGAGCGTTATTTTTCAGGGACCTCCAGTCAGGTTCCATTTTTGTGAGTGGCAATGTCCACAAAGGCTCCAGGCTCATAAAACAGATTATTGAAATCGACCGTTTGTCCCTGAAGGACGTGCAAGTAGCGGGGCAAAAATAATATAAAATCAACAAATAGATGGTGGGGACCAAGAATGTCCCATGTCCTTCGGGGGGAACAAGCAATATGGGTTTGCATTTGTTTGAAGAAACCACCAAAAGGGGGAATTCTGTTGGTTTCCCTTCAAAACAGCCAAAAAGCAGGTGCCCTTGAGAAGACACACTGTGAGTTTGTCGCAACTAAGGGGACCGCGCAAATGGTTGGTTTCCTGTTTGTTCCCCTTGAATGCCAAGCCAAAAGGGGCCCCCCCGAAAAAACCACCTGTCATGGTGTCCGGCTCTCGATGAGACATGGCGGTAGGTGGACACCAACAGTGATGGACAGGTGTCCTTCAATGAGTTTGTGGCCTGGCAAGAGAAGGGTATGGATCAAAATGAACCACCAGAGGACCGCAGATGTTCGTCTTGTTTCCATTTACCTGGGTTCCATGTTGGGTACCTATTTTTGACCCTCACCCAAATATTTTTTGGGAGTCCCCCAAAGAAGGTTCCCGGAACGAAACCGGCAGGTGTCTCTGCTTTCGCAAAAAAACCCAAAAAGAAAGGGGGTCGGGACCCTACAAGAAGGATTTCCGGAGTGCATTTGCTTGGTTTTACCCTCTTTCCAACCATCACGAAAGTGGACAGATTGTTATTTCGGAAAATTGCTTCAGCCTGTTGAGAAATCGTCATGTCCCCACTATACTACAGATACATGTGCATTGTATATATATATAGTGTGTAACATTTTTAACATGTTGCAAGGCGTCTAGAAGGCTTCACAGAAAGCGCAAGTGTACTTGGCTTGCTTCCGACAGCTGTTTTTCAACGTAGCCGGGTCCGGAGGTTGGATGGTTATGGGCGTTATTTCTCAGCGTAAAGGTCCCCTTTTTGGTACCCGTTAAAGATGGTTCCAGAAGGGCTCAAACGGCAAAGCACGCGTAGACTTTGGTACATGGAATGCTCCAAAAGCCAGACAGCATCGACCAGTCGCAAATCGACATCAGTCTCAATGCCAGTGGGTTGCTCTTTAAGGTTTCCGTTTGCGCTTGGTCCATTTCACCTTCGATTTCCCGAGGCTAAACATCTCGGGATCCGTGTTACCAATTGACGAAGAGACCCTCTCAGCTCGCCTTCGGGAAAAACGAAGGACAGACTTGGGTACTCAACCAGACCTTAGCCGCCTTTGGTTCGAGGGGAGCTTCCCTTCAACAACCAGCCGAAGGGCTGTGCTGTTTTTCCAGCCACTCGAGGTTTGGAATAAACTGGACAAATGATCGTGATAGAAGGCACAATCAAAACCAAGATAAATGAACCTGGAATGAACAGCTGTGGGTATAGGTGCGCATGTCGGCCCCGGATTCCTCACTTTGGGTGGTGACTTATGTTGGGATTTGGGATGATTTCCCCTTTTGCGACTCACTCACAAGCCAAGCTCAAGGGGGCGAAGGGGGGGCGAAGGGGTGGAAACAAAGCCCACTTTGGTTCGGGCCACAAGGCTCAGGGGGTGGCCAAACTTGCAGAAGGCAGCCCAGTGGGTGTTCTGCGTTTTTGGGTCTGAGTCCGGTCTAACGGACGCTGAACTGACCACAGAACGCGAACAGCACGGGATTCCGCCCGGCCAGTAGATAAGGCCGGCTGGTAAAGATTGACCTCAATGGGGTCCAACTTGGGCTTCCATGCTAGACAAGGTAAGACTATTCTGACGGGTTGCGAGGATTGCAAGTAAAAGGAGGGGAATGATCAAATGCTTCTAAGCCAGGCCCATCAGCGCACCCCCACCACTTGCTCCGAGGTGAAATGGTATGCGGAGACGTGGGAAGCGCCTGAGGCAGCGCATCAAGCGAAGGGTGAAGGTTTGAATACATGAACCGTCTTAGGGATGTTTGAGGGGAGCAAAAGGAAACCGCCATACTTGCCCACAACCAGCCGTGCGGGTGATGTGCGGGTGTAGGGTCCTGGTCTTCTAGCGCCTACGCTATTTTCCCTTGGGTCCAGGCGGTTTGGGTAGTGGAAAGCCCTTCGAAGGGTACTTGGTGGCGCTTTTCATCAGCACGGAATAGTCGATTGAACTTGTGTTTGAATATCAAAGGGGGACCCACCAAACATGAGGCTCGGTTTCGCAGACAATGGACGAGGGTTACGGGGGTTTCCCTTCGAAAGAACCCCAAAATGGCACCAAATGGTTGTTTTTGTTTTGGTTTCGGCTGTCACAGGGAAACCAAGATGAACAGGGTTTCTTACATGATATTTTGGGGTCCACTATTTTTCAGTCACCCCCCCATGCGTCTTTTTTGTGGGGTGTGTCAATATCCATTCTTGGATCCCTTCTTAATCCAGCTTCTCTTTGGTTGGGTGATACCAATTTTAGAGAGTCGTCTTTTAAGCAGTAGGTTGCGTAACCCCTGCAAACAACAATTCTACGAAACTCAACCATTAGGAGATCCTGTTGAGGAGACCCAATTCAAGTTGGTTGGTCGAGCTCGATCCTAAAGGACATTCAGGACACGGCAAAAGGGTCAACGCTCCAAAGGCTGCACCCTAAGCCTATAGGTTGCCTTTTTTGTTGTTGTTTCCTTTTGTGCAGAGATTTCCTTGCTGGGGAGTCTACAAAGAAACACATGATGTAAGTCATCCGCCCGAGGGAGGACTAGCTCAAACAAGGTGAAATGAGACAAAGCAAGTCCAAATGTCTTTGTCACCTGCAGACCTCTCCCTCAGAGAAGGGTTTGCGACAAAATAGTTGGGTGAAGCCAAAAGGAGCACCTTGAGTTTGGGCGTACCCCTATCTTGACGCATACCCAAATAGGGAAGCCCAAACAAATATAGTTTCCCGTGATATTTCACTGTAAACTGCAGTATAAAGGGTATCCTCTAAAAGCACACAAACCCAGAGCCCGTCCCCTTCCCGCCGCTTTGGAGGCGATCTCTGAAGAGAGCGAGGAGGAGAGCGAGAAGCCATGACGGTCGCGCTAAAAAAAAGAGCTGGCGGAGCAATCTGGGTGTGTCTTTTTGGTAGGGGACCGCTTTCGGTTGGTTCAGAACCACATGTTTGGGTTCCTGATTTTATGACAAACCTGTCTGAGCTGCGCAATTCGATCGAGCTGCGATCGGATCCGGAGTGGGGACCCCCATTGCACGGAGACTTGACGTTTCAGAATGGGCTTGTGTAACACAAAAAGTTAAGCCAAGCAATGAAAGGCAAGACCCCTTCTCGAGCCCCTTGTTTGCTTTCCTTTCGGCTGCAAAGCCCCTGCTCTGACGTGTTCCAGGGCCGATTTTCATATGCCAGTCTTGGGTGCGCCGCGTCCTGACTTGGACGTTGACAGCATTTTGGGGACCAACGAAGTGGCAAACAACAAGTCGACGTTTGGACTGAAGGCCAATCACTCGTTCGGTGAGGGGAAATGGAAGTTCACTGGCCCAGACCGTTTAAAGGGAAACCAAAGATAAACCCCTTTTCTTTTGGAGGGTCCTTTTGCTACTTTGGAAGGGCCACGCCTTTGAATCCTTGCTTCCATGCCTGGTTCACGAGGCCACGTCCTCTGAAGGGACAGTCCCCAGAAATCGGTGACCCGCCTTTTTAATTTTAATTCTGAAATACGGCTGGCAGACCACTCGTTCAACCCCTCGACTTCAAGCCCCTCCAAAAAAATTGCCTCACAAAAAACACGCCTGTCGCTTGTTTGGACAGCGTGGACGTCTCTCTCGTTTGGCTCGGCGCTTGGCTGGGATGTCTGAAAGCCCAGGGACTGCCCAGACCTCAAGTTTCTCGAATGTTTCCCTCAAAATACCTTACCCAGCGAATCCCAGTTGCCCTTGCAGCAGATAACCAACTGTTTTCCTTGTGGTTTTAGGGTGGTAATGGATGCCGCTTTATTTCTGGGGCCACATCATCCATTTGGTGTATGGTCGAACCTCTTCTCCCAAAAGGAGGCCTGCACCCTGCAAGGCTCGCGAATCAGAACGTCTGAGCCGGAGCAAGAGGAGCCAAATGGTTCGCACGAAGGCCATCGTACCCAGCACAGTTCGGGCCATTGCAGGTTTGGTCAACATGTCAGTCATTTGAAAGTTTTGCCAACCACAGCTTTCTAGAAGGGTCAGAGGTTTCAACTGACTGTGACCTATGGCTTGTAGATTGTTTCCCTAGCCCGAATAGGCAAATGACTAAGGCTAAAGGCAAGCCACCCATAGAATATGTGAGTCAACCCGCTTGTGGTTTGAGCAGGATGAGGCCAGGATGAGGCCAGGATGAGGCCAGGATGAGGCCAGGATGAGGCCAGGATGAGCCCAAGCCTCTACAGTAGTCACTCCTTGTGTTGGGCTGTGCAATTACTTCAGGACAGGCATTAGGGCCCTCCCCCGACGATTCTCATCGCTAAGAGAGCGCCGATGAGTTGGCGGCCCTTGGCTCCTTTTGCTTTTTCGCATCCTCAATTGAAATTAGGCGTTAACGTTAGGCCGAATATCTGAATATATCATCACCCTTTACTAGCATCATGGAAGAAAAAGGGCACGACTAATCACAGCATACATTTGTCGACTCTTCACCAAGAAGGGCCTACTTTGAAACCGAGAGTTGCTTTTTCCAGACCCCCCATTTGTCAGGTATCTCCTCAATTGGTGGTGTGGATTGGTGGTCCGGGGATTTGAACCTTTGGTTCTTGAGGGTAAATGGGAAGCACCAAGTAGCTTCCCATTTACCCTCTACAAGAACCAGGGAGGGACGCTGACATGTCAGCACGCTGCCATTTTGCACGTAGGAGGTCACCTTCTCAGGGCCGGGGCTCAGCAACTTCATCGAGAGCCAAAAGGAGGCGGGCGATTGGGGGGGTGGGGGGGTGGGGTTGGGGTGTTCTCATATCTGAGGTTTTCTCCAAAACTATTTTAGAAAAGATGAAATATGGAACAGTACCTCTGGGCCAAATACCTAGACCCTTCAACTCCCCTACAAATGGTTGATAGTGCTGCCAAAGAAACGGGGCGATGTCTATGGCATCCAGGTGCTGAATTTGAGCATCCGGGTCTATCTTTTAGAGGGTACCCTTTTTGGGGATGGTTAAAAAAATCGAAACCAGGAAAACCGAAATCCTTTGTGGTCCTAATCCTACTTTAAGATATACATATGTATATATATATATATGCATAAGCTTCTACAACGCTGAAACTGGTTTGTGGCCAATGGACGGCTTGTGTACCCACGGTACTCTCCAAGGACAACCCGACCCTCGACAAGTACCCATGGCAGTCCGGAGTTCAGGGCCTTGCTTGGTGACTGGTCGGTTCCTCTTTGGTCACCCCACTTTGCAGGGATCCGTGGCACCCCAAAACCCTGTTCAACCACAGGCACGATCGTTTGTGGCAAATATTGCCCACACCAAGTTGTATTTTTCATGGACAATGTTTGAAGGGACTCCCCGCCCACAAGATGACCGCAACCCGTTGAGGTCTGGGTTGTGGTCTGGTTGCTTGGGAGCTGTGACTGTCCAAGCCACAAGACGCTCTTGAAATACCTGGAGTCCAAACGGGCACCGTCCCTCCCAGACGTGCCACAGCGGGCTTGAGAGTAATTTGATCTTCCAGATACTTTCCAGATGCCATGTTAGGAGGAAGGCCTAATTCTGAGGGCACCTCGTTAGGCTTGTTTGACGGCCAAGGAGCCGAGTCCGCTCGCTCAGCGTTGAACAAATACAGAAACAGGCTTGTTCGAAAGGGACACCTCAAAGGGAACCCCGACATCAGACATCCATATTTTTTCACGCCTGGGTTCAAAAGACCTGATCTCTCAGGCGTTGCGCCAGAAGGTGGGCAAACTGCAGGCCGGACCGTCTTCATGCAGGTTTGTGCCCGGGAGAAATCGATTTCAATCCGGAATACGATGTCTTGCCCGTTGCGCACTCAGGAAGCCAGGTCCATAGCTATAAGATTCCCATTTTGCAGGCTGTGGTTCCTACAGCTTGGTTGCTCTTCACCGCGACGCTTCACCTCACCTTGTGGAAAATTTGTGTGCCCCACCAAAGCGGCAAACAATGTGTAGGGGTCAACGACCACCCCATTGTCCAGCTGGACTTGACTGGTGTGCACCCCCAAGTTCGATTTGGATCTGACCCATCAGCCCTAGTTCAAAGGGCAAGAAACTTTAGTCAAGGTGTCACCACTTTGCGACCCTGTGAAGCCCAAGTAGGCCCCAAATAAGGATGTAGGTGTGAGATGTCTGCTGGGTCTGGCCTAGGGCTTTGTTGCCACCAAGATCCGCTGTTTGGGTAACCGGATGGAAAACCACCCATTGTTGGATGTTTTCGGTGTTCAATATTCACCCTTGCGTGGCAATCTTTGAACTGTGGATTGGTGTCTTAGAATCATAGAGGTCCACAAAGTTGTGAGTCTGGCGAGTCAACTCACGTGAGCCACAATCAAATTTAGGATAGATGACGGTGAGTACTATAAGGGAGAACTCCAACCACAATGGGTGCAGCCGCCTGTTTAGTTCCTTGCATGTTTTTTGGTACACTCCCAGCCTAACCTGGAAGCTCCCAGAAGGCCTCTGTAAATGGAGCCAAGTCTTTTAACGGGGTCCTGGGAGCTTCCATGTTGGCCTGGGAAAGGGTAGTTTTGATACCGATCGGTTTTGATTGTGACTCAAGAGTCTGTGATTCCTGGGCTGCCTGTCGAACTTGACCTGAGGCGGTAAGCGAGACGGAGGTGGGGCGAGGGTGCGGGAGGCGAATTTGAGTTGTCCAAAAGAACGAACACTCTGGGATTGTTGTGTTTTCCTTTTTTGTTGTCCTTTTGTTTGAGTGTGTTACCAGTGTGTTTTGTTGGCGAGTTTTGCTGCTCACCGGGAGACCAACAAGCTCCGGGGATGTGAGTTTGACTTTTACGAGTTCGCTTGCAAAAGGTAGAAATGCCCCCTTGGAAGTGGCTTCCCTTAGAAGGATTGAAGAAGAGGGGTCCCGGTTGACCGGGGGGTTCCTGGAGGTTCAGTCGGGCGGTGGAAATGACTTGCTTATGGTGAAACTCAAAATGGCCCCTTCCAAAGAATGTCCACGGGGGCCAAGACAACTGGGTTCCAAGCAGATTCCGGGGCGAATAGCTGGGGATATTCAGAGGCTTTCTTTTTGCTTATTCTCGGCCGGTTTTACCGGTGAATTGGCCATGACGCACACAAACAGCGGTGGGAGTTGATGTCCGTTCGGGGAGCTGCTCTCCAAGGTCCTGGATTCGATCCTTGGGACGTGTTTGCAACAAAGTACTCCACAAGATTTACCTCTTTGTTTCATCCAGCCTTTTAGGCGGCGATAGGTTAGCAATGGATAGCTTAGCTGTCAATATGTTCAGGTCCTGCGGGCAAAGTGAGAGCACTTCTTGTTTCTGTTGGTTGCCAGCGCACAGACGTGAGAGAATCTCCATGGCGCTGTTTTTGCGCCGGCACCCATTTTGTGGTTTTGCAGGGCAATCATGGGGCTTCCGGAGTCCTCTGGGATTCCATGTCTCATTTGGTGACACTTGCCCAGTTGAAGCGATTGGCGCAGTTGCAACTCCAGGTTGGGTTTTCCTAACCCAAACAGGGTCGCTTCAAACATTGCCAGACTTGACGAACCGTTTTGCCCTTTTGCCTTTGCCCTTTTGGGTTCCTTCACTTACCAGAAAACGGCAACTTGCAGGGCGGTTGGATCCGTTTGGTCAAGCAAAGAGTTCACCCCCTCAAGTCCCAGAAGCCTCAACTTTCGGTGAAGCGCAAGGCCGGCAAGCTCGCTATTAGCGCAATCGTCCGAACGGAAAAAAAAAGCAACACGAGTTGCGGTGGCTGAGCCGAAGCAATTGCTTACAGCTGAACAGACTTGATAAATGAGTTGTATGTCCATGGCTCTACAAGTCAAGGTTGAACCAGTAAAGTCTAAACATATTGTTTCTGATTGGGCTCCAACATTTAAGGTGGGCTGAAGCAACCGGAGCTGAAACCGGAAGCGGCCCTTGCCACAGGCCGGTGGCGACAGCGACCTCCCGAAAGCGCCCTCGAATGGCCGAGCTGGGGTGCTCGGAAATTTTCCGTTTCGAGCGCCGATGTCTCAGCGAACCAGGCGAGAAGCGATGGAGCCAAGGAGCTGAAGCTATCCCAATTCGCACGAAGAGGGGGCCAAGGGAGCCACCAGCTCTGCAAGGACGTGGTCACTGGGAGTCCAAAGCAGCCCTGTTTTTTTTAAAGCGCGGAATCAACAGGTATGAACTTATTGTCAACCACACACCGCCAGAAAGCTCAGGTTGCTGGGGGGACGGGGCAAGATCGCCAAACCCATGTGCTCGCTCGCCGAAACCAGAACAATTTGTGCACAGATGCCTGTTCGCGTTTAGTGGGGCATACCCGTTCCAAGCTGACTCATAGGGAAACCGGATAGAAACGGCCCATTTAGGGCTCCCATATTTTATCCTTGATGGGAATGGAGCAATATGGATCCTTAAGGATTCCCACAGCTCAAGCTGCAGTACGAAGGAACCAGCACCAGGGATCTCTTTAACTATGAGCTGCTGTTTAAGGTCCACTAAGCTCGGACCACCATCTAGTTGATGCATCAGTTGTTTTTGAAAGGTTAACAAAATATGGACCAGCATCTAAGGATGCATCAGTTGTTGTTCAAAGTTAACAAAATATGGACCACATCCAAGAATGCGATTTGGGTGGGCGAACGCTGAGGTAGGGGGGAGGTGTGCAGCAAACAGAACGGAAGTCGGCCACTTGCCACAGGCCGGCGAAAGAGACCTCCCAAAAGCGACCTCGAATGGCCGAGCTGGGGCCCTGAAACCCTGGGGCCTGGGACATGGGTGCGAACGCGGGTGTCTAAGCGTAGAGCCGTTTTGGTTGGATTCTGCGTTTGTTTCCACCAGAACGTTGAGGGGATTGTGGCTATATAGTGGTGTATCCCATTAACCTGGGGATTGGGGGTAGTGGACACCAACTCGGATGGGGTTTGCAAGTCAAGAGCAACTCGAGCCACTGGAGGTTGGGATGGTATCCCTGGTATCCCCTTGGAACATATGGTTATATTATCCATTGGCACCTGCACAGTACGTTGTCATAGAACTCAACATCCCTCTGTTTGCAGGGCCGGGTGATTGTAGGGCCCATGTGAAATCCCTTTATGGGTTTCTGGTCCAAAACACAGAGTTGCTCTGGAAAACCTGATCACCAACGGGTTGTAGGTTCCCCTCGTAGGTGTATTCCCACAACCCTTGTGATGTTCGACCGAGAACCGGCAGGTTGGCCCGGGCGGGGGAGACCCAACAGATCTCGAGTCAAGGTTCGGTCAAACTATGCGGTCTAATCAAAAGCAAGGAGTCTCGCAGATTCCCATGCTTACTGGGGATAACAGCATTTATTGACCATGGCTCAGGCAGTCAACTGATGACCGTTCCCTTCGTTGGGTTGGGGGGAGGAGAGTGGGTTTTAGAGGCGAACAAGCAGCCGGCCACCATTAACTTCATGGGCGAGGTTGTAAACCAAAATCGTTCGGCTCAGCACGGGGAAGTGCAGCCAGAATGGTTTTGGATGGCTTTGCCCAAGAGCTTTCACTTCTTTTTGGTCGAACACGAAGCCTCCCCTTCCCCCCCACGAGTGCAGAGAACCTGATGCTGCAGCCCGCGGTTTCTTAGGCCAACGCGGGCCCTAGCTCCGGGGCTCGGGCGCCTCGGTTGGCAATCCGCTCTTGGTCGGTTTGGGTGATGTGTGTGTTTTCTTTTTTGTTTAGGAACCTTTGTTGAGAGTCTTTTAGAGGGAAGCCAATGGGAAACCGCTGGTTTGGCGGGTTCCCTGTCTAGAGACGCACCCCTTTCTTTTCCGTCATATGGGGTCGTGCCTCCACAAAGCAATGTCATACTTCCTGGTAGACTAAGCATGGAACAGAGTCAGGAAATCAAAGCAAACGTCGGACCAAGTTATGTATGTTCAACCAACTATACTTTAGGTCTGTTCAACGAAGATTTCTGTACCATATCTCCCCGGTGAAATTCCCCATTAAGCCGTTTCCCCCTGGTTGTTGCTTCCAGTTTCCGTTTCCGGAAACAAGGAATTCTGGGTATAGACCTGGTTGGGGGTTGCCCTTAACCCTTTGGAAGCAAAGGGCTTTTCCATTGATCCTATAGAAGAAGTTAGGCCTTCTGCCGAAGGAGGAGCAACCCAGACTTGTAGACTTGTATTGTGTAATGCATGTCGATTTATTTGTTGTTTGTTTGTTGCCACGCTCGTTTATGAGTTGGTTGGTCAAGGCTGACAGGTTGGTTGGCTTGTTGGCGTATCAGTTTATGATGCACGCTTCCACAAGCAAACGTTGGGATCCCCTTTTGCGCAGTTCCCATGCTGGTTCATTGGGTAATGGAGCATCATGTATAAGTCCCGCTAAGGGTGGGGATGTAGACAACCTCTTGATGCACGTTCTTGATCTCCTTGTGATCAGTTTGTGTTCTATGGAACAGGGTCAAACATCGAATATTAGGTTCTGCGTACCTCAGAAGTGGACCAAGGGGATAAGGAACTTGACCTAGTGGGATGCAGGCGATGTAAGTTCCAACCATTCTGGGCCCAACTTGAGTCGGATTCATAATGCCACAGGGGAATGCTCTGGTTGCCCATAGATATGGCTAAGTTCTCATGCACGTTCAACGTACATTTGGGCGCAGATAGCCCCTACCCACAACCAAAACTCAAGCACCTTGAAGCGCATTGACCGGTCCTTTGATTGGTGAGATCAGAACAGCCACCACCCTCCCAGGGCTGCCTTTGGACGCTTGAAACAACCGGTCGCTGGCAACAGCAAATGCTTTGGACGTGCTTGTGTTTGTTTTCAATTCCTAAGGCTTCCGGCCACTAAGCAAACCCATATGAGTTTCCACAATTCGCATTCGAATAATTGTTGAGTGGTCCTTTCTTATCTGATATACATACTTAGGGAATCCACCACACCTCCTACCCTCTCCCAGGTAAACATGCAGCTCCCACCCCCTTAGCTGAGCTCCATGTACAGCGGATCTCCGTAGAAATGCGTGAGGGAGGGCACTCTCCTGCAGATTCACACAAAACATCCATTTGTAGAGGAGTTTTTCTTGGAGCCCTTTTTGGAGCCCTTCCGTTAATTTCCGGGGGGCCCCCTGCCCCATTTGGGGAGGAGCTTGACTGCCTTCGTAGGCGCCTTTGCCGGCGGCCCCTTTGCCTTCGCTGCCCGGCTCGCCGGAGCTGTGGCACGCGGCCAGGGCCCCTTTCGGGCTCACTGGACCGTCGCCAAGAAATGTGACCCCAGATCTAAGTTGCTTGTTGTTTTTTTAATAAAGGGGGTGTCCTCTTTGTTGCGGATTCGAATCCGGATCACTTTTGGGAGTGACGACTGATAGGATGGGTTTGTCAATCCGGGGTTCCCATTGCCATATGGTGTTTGCTTACAAAATTGTCAGAAAGGCTACAGGACAAAGCAATCGGTTGGGGCTTGCGTTTCGCTGTCCGAGACCAATGATTTGCTTTCGGTTTCGGTGGGATCTCCTCCGGAATAATTATTTCTTATCGTAGACTGAATATGGGACAGAGTCGGAGAATGTGCTGTGTGTTTGTGTGTGTGTGTGTTTATTTGTTGGTTTGTTTTTTGTGTGCCCTAGATTTGGGCCAGATGACCACCATGACCCATCCTGAAGGTCAAATTTGCATTAATCGGTCTTCCAGGACCCTAGAGTCGGTGAAAGTTCGCCAAAACCTGGCAAACAAATAATCACATCGCCATGTGGAGGCCTTGTGCTTAGTTGAACATCACCTGGAATTGGGGAGATCTTGGGATGCTTCATCTGATGAATGCTAAACAGACCACGAGGGACTACAGATCATCCCCCCAAACCAACACCTGCAAAAGTGGTTGGGTTACAGAACCACATGGGGGGTGTTTGTTTTGAGGCTCGGTACCAAAAAACACAATTTGGGGGGGGGGGGGGGGGTTCAAAGGAAAAGCCAAAAGCAACACTGAAATCCAGCCCCATTTTGGGGGTCCCCCATTTTGAGACAATCCCACAACAGCTCATTAAACCAACCAGGGCTAGTTTGCAGTTGAACACATTGCATCCCTTTCCGCGGGGTTCTTGCCGGACATTCGGACCGGCTGGGTCCAGTCTGTCACATTAGACGTGTGGACCCTGTGATTGGGAGAATCCCTCTGGGCTGCCTGTTATCGGGACAACCAACTTGTGCAGAAACCAGTGTGAGAAGGGTGTGTCTATTTTTCAGGGTACTTTCTTTTGTGGTTTTAAAGGACAGCCCAAAGAAAAAACACCAGTTGCTCTGTTTTCTTGAGGGGGTGGAGGTTGAACCGACAAAAGGAGGAGCCACACCGGTCCTCCTGCCGCGCCGCGAGGTTCACGTGGGGGACGAGGCCTTCGTGGCGCGCATGGTGCGGCAGAACGCCTGCAGCGGCCCCCCGGCCCAAGTCGCTTCGAGGGTCGCTCCTGGATCCAACTGGAGGGACTCGAGAAAACTGTTTTTTTCTTCTGCGTCCTCTCAACACACGCAAAGGAAAACTGCTGAGATCTTCTTTGACACTGTTTTCAGTTTTCAGGTTTGAATGTGTACGATTATGTTAAGGGTACCCTGCTTTGCGAAAGTGTAAAGAGAAACCAAGGGAACCACCACCATTTTGGCGGGTTCAAATCCCTATATCGACACGTACTCAAATCTACCTCCACTGTTCACCCCGGGAAGAAAGAAGGTAGCATGATTGTTTCTGCAAACCTGCATGTTGATTTTCTGTTTGGAGGGCTTACCTTTCGGTTCACACCTAAGGGCCCAGGCAGAACTACTCAAACTTCCTAGCCCACGCACACATAAAACACACACACACACACAAACACACACAAACACACACACAAACACACACAAACACACACACAAACACACACAAACACACACAAACACACACAAACACACACAAACACACACAAACACACACAACACACACACACACACACACAACACACAACAAACAAACAAACAAACAAACAAACAAACAAACAACAACAAACAAACACACACACACACACACACACTCACACACACACAAACAAACAAACACACACACACACACACACACACACACACACACACACACACACACACACACACACACACACACACACACACACACACACACACACACACACACACACACACACACACACACACACACACACACACACACACACACACACACACACACACACACACACACACACACACACACACACACACACACACACACACACACACACACACACACACACACACACACACACACACACACACACACACACACACACACACACACACACACACACACTTAAACTCCAGATGGAGAGTGCTAATCTTTCGAGTACAACCGATGAGTCTCGAGTACAACTGATGAGTCTCGAGTGGGTGGATTTTCGGCTTGCACGGCACTTGGCTTCTCTTTAGTGTCGAAAACGTTACCAGATCCAACATAAAGCACACACAGCGAGAGAAACAACGGGCCAAATGGACATTGCACAACCGATGCAGGTACACAATCCAGCGTCCCGGATTGCATCACACTTCTCATCAGGCGTCTTCGTTGGCCTGAGTCCTGATGAGAAGCCTCAAGCCCCCTGCTGAGAAACCGAAAGGGTGGTGACAGGGCATTCTGTCACTCCGCACACACACGCCCCTCAATGAGGGGCGAGGAGTCTCCTTTTCCGCAGGAAGATCACATGCTCAACCCCGTGTCCCTATCGTTGACCAAAAAATCCACCGCGGCGAGGGGAACGAGAAACAGCCCTAAACCGCTCAGAAGACGGGAACGAGAGGTCACCACGTTGAGCATTACGAGTGTCGCCATAGAGGACTGAAGCGAGTTGTGAAGTAGTCGAGCGATCACCATGAGAAAACGGAGTAGCATAGGTGAACGTCTCCTCAACTGGAATGGCATCGGAATTCCGAACTTCACCAAGAGATTGATCATACGAATGATGAGTTGTGAAGGACTCCATTCGAGACAGAATGCGCTGGTATCCTTGATGCTGCCAGTCGCGGATGGTCCATGCCTGACCGTGCTCACCAGTGCGCCCATTGGGATCAGTCACCCGCTGCCATTCCCGAAAAGCATTGTCTGGTAGATCAGGTACAGTTTCTCCGCTGAGGCTGTCCTGCAGTGTAGATCCTCACCCACTCCTGATCCTGCCAGACCGAGTATTCGAGCCATGGGTGCTGCTTGGAATCCTCGATGTCCATGTCGAAGTAAAAGGCAAGGCGTATCGCGGGCTCTGATCCAGCTGATAGAGGAACAGGCACCATGCACAACCATGTACAAGCAACAACCAAGCAAGGTAATGCAAGTGTGAAAACCACCCTTATTTTGTACGCTACCCCACTCACGTGCGTCTAGTCCTCATTTAGTTCGAAGATAGGTCTCGCCTTGGCTTTGCAGCTGTCGGAAGGATTAACAGGCCGATATGGTTCGGAGACCCCAACCATCTCCGATGGTGTGATTCCACGTGATGCCCGTACAGGTTGATGAAGTTGGGAAGCTTGACGTGCGCGAGCTGTCAGTTGTTGAGAAATCCCTTCTTGGAGACGAGTCAGTTCTTCGGTAGAGAAATCCGCCGCATCCGAGGATCTAAGGATCGCTTCTAACATCTGTGGTGACATACTCAATGCCGCGGACTGCGTGGCCACGCTGTGATGATCAGGAAAAGACATAGAATCAAAGTCATGACCAGCTTGAGGGGCAGCGACTCTCCGATAGCCCTCTGTGGCCCAGTCTCTTTTGTACCACATGGTGACATTGAGCTGCTCACCGTCTTGGTCCGGGTTGGGAGCATAGAACTCCCTCCACTCTCTATACGTGTGCGGTGGAGGTGGAGCATCATGTTCTTCATGTAGAGTCCATGATCCCGGATGAAAGATCTTGACCCACTGGGCATCTGGTTGCTGAGGATCCGGACACCATTCCAGCCACGCCATGACACCGCAAACCCGGAAAGACAAATTGATAGGTGTACGGCTGCAGACAACAATTACTGCAAGAGACACAACAACAACCACGCAAGCAATCACTTTTGCAGCAATGCACGGCTCGGGTGTTGAAGTCCATCACCTGAATCGAATTGAATGGAATAGACTCCCCAGGAAGACGAGGACGGGCATTAGCCACCATCTGAGTTTGAAGATGCCGATGAAGAGGTCATTCCAGCGTACATGAGGTCCGGTGCGCCCGAAGCGAAAACTGGACGCGCAATACTAGGGTGTGGACGACCCAGCCGTTGATATCCTCTGGTGGCCCAGTCCCGATAATGCCAAGTATAGAAGGATGCATAAGAGACCGGCTGAGAAACAGCACCCATATTGGTGCCGCCCATGCTCTCCCTCGGCCAATACACTTCGAAGTGGTATACTTTGCGCCACTCCCGATAGGTGGTTGAGTCCTCCGGGGCTGGTCCCAAGGTGTTTACGGCGACCGGATGCCACGGACCCGGTACGTAGATCCGAATCCATTCTACACTTGTGTTCGCGGGGCCATTGACGATGTCGCGGGAGGGCCCATCTTGCAGTACCATACACTGTAGACTTGAACATATCAACCAGGCAAGCCGCTCGAAGTCATAAAGGAAAGCGGCGAACACATGGAGACAGAACGCACAACACCAAGCAAGACAACCCAACATGGAATCGCATACAAAGCAAGCACAACCGCGTCATTTTATCCGACAAGTTGCTCAAGTATCACTCCGAATCGTTCCAAGGATCATAGAATGGTGGTGGTGACGGCTCTCGCCACGCCCCATCCGGAACCGATGAGCCCACCGAGGAATTGGCGTCCGCATTCACGAGCATCGCGAGTCCAATGGCTGGTAAAGGAGCTCCAAGTCGTTGATACCCTCGTGTTTGCCAGTCTCGGTACTCCCACACGTGGTAGGGCACATACGAACTGGGCGTGACAATGGGATCCGTTGTGGTTCCTCCGGTGCTGTCTTCGGACCAGAACACTTGGAAGCGATATGACCTGCGCCACTCCCGATACGTGGAAGCGTAGACCGGGTCGAGCACTGGAGCATCATCGGGAACGGGTCGCCACGTGCCCGGTGAGTAAATTCGAATCCATTCCACTCCTCTGTCGATCTGGTACTCGAAATATTGAGGGTTCATAGCGGCAAGACAGGCTCCCGCGCGGCCGCTAAAAGCAATCGAAAATCTGCGGTGAAGACACACATGCAATGACAATCGCTTGGTAAGAAAGACGCACGCAGCTAAAGGGATGCAAGGCAACTTTTCAAACTCAAGGTGAGACACAGCAGCGAGGTTTGTAATATACGACGCCTAAGCTTCACCGCCGTTGATGCCGCGCACACCTGCAATGATAATGTCCTGGTCGTCTACGATCACAAGGGGAAAGACATTTCTGCCCATGGCGCAGGAAGGCATGACAGTAATGCTTGCAATTTGCTGATGGGGACCGCGATGGGCGGCCAGCACGTTTGGAGGGGAACACGGTAAAGGGCCGTCGAGATCTCCGCGGTGCCGAAGCTCTTCATCACGGGAATGGTCAGTGCTGTAGATCGAGCGGCGTGTGCGCTCCGATTTCGATGTGGCAGGGCAGGATTGTCCGCGAGGAGCGGAGAACGAGGGGCTCCGTACTGCGGGCATAAACTGTGGGTGTAGAATCACCGGTGGTGGTGGCGGTGGAGGAGGCGGAGGTGGAAGAAGCAGTGGAAAACTTGGTGGGGGCGGTGATGACGTAGTCTGCCGACTGGGTCTGTCAAGCAGGGCTCCAGGTCCGTGACATTGTAACCACGTCGGCTGCGCTCCATGGGTCCAAGTAATGTACGTCTGTACGACTTGTTCCGACATGATTTGAGCAACTCAGTCATGCATTCAATTCACATCAGCGGCAACACCCACAACGGCAAGCAATATTACCCTGGTGAAATGCCAGTCAAGTACAAGCAAGCAAATTTCATGTGATCAATAATGACTACAATCCCAACCGTCGCAACAACCTGCAGTGCTAGCCGAATACGCCGCCACGGCCCACCATTTAGTCCTCCGGTGGTCGCTGTTGCATTTGATGACCGGGTTCCTAGCCGCGAGCCTCAAGTTGCTGATAGACCTTCCATGCCTGCTTGACTTCCTCAATGGGCTTCTGAAGGAACCGAGCAATGGTTTTGTAGGTAGGCCTGGAATCCTTGTCTTTCTTCCGTCGCACCATCTCATCCAGCTCACCCTGTGTCCATGCCGTGAAAGGTTCACTGTATGCGTTGCGAAGTGCAATGGTGAATTCTTGTAGAAGTTCCCGAGGTCCATGAACCACCGTAGGAGACGGTCGGAACGACGAGGCACCTGGATGTGGACGCACTGAGCCATCAGAATCCGAGTCAGGTGTCGTAGGCGTCATCTGTCCTGGTTC